CCGAAGTGTTTGCTTTTTCTAAATGCCCAATAGCATCCACAATTGGTCGAAGAAGCTTCACCAAGATCGAGTTTGAAGTAAAATGGTTGTGATTCTCGATTGCAACAATGATGTTCTTGTTGATGTTTGGAGTTGATACTGAAGATTTTTGATTGTCTCGGAACACACTTCCTGCTATCTAGGATTAAGGAGCTGATAAAATGCGCTATGAGTGAAAGGAACAACTACCAAATCCCGCTCTTAAGGATGGAAGCTGACCTGATAAAATGCGCTATGAGTGAAAGGAACAACTACCAAATCCCGCTCTTAAGGATGGAAGCTGACCTATGATTAGGATAGTTCAAATAACAACACGAGTTATGAGTCTCTTGATCTATGAAAGTGAAATGTTCTCTTTCCAAAGATCATTTGTATTACCTGATAAATGCGCTATGAGTGAAAGGAACAACTACCAAATCCCGCTCTTAAGGATGGAAGCTGACCTACAACATAATAGAGAAGAATAAACAAAACAATCATTTTAAGTCTTAGGAAAAATGAATATGATCTATAGCATCTATCTGTACCTATGATTAGGATAGTTCAAATAACAACACAAGTTATGAGTCTCTTGATCTATGAAAGTGAAATCTATAACATTTGTTTATCAAACAATCAGTCTAAAGTACTAGTAATAAAGATCTGTAGAAATGATATGATAAAGTGAAGTGTTTTACGTACGTTCTCTTTCCAAAGATGAGGAAAGAGAAACATTACGATTTTTCATGTTGAGCTTCTTATAAGTATTTTGGTTAGCTTAATTTGGTTTGGGGTTATCAATCAATACGTCATCCATCTGTTTATCCTTAATTTCACAACATCTTTTCCGTCTATCTCATTTCTCTTAATTCCTACATTTATGTTTCTTCTTCAGTAACTCCTATTTATGATTGTTAAGTCAATTGAACACCAACAGATACTGACTTGTCTTGTAACATTGTGAGGCAACTTTGAAATCATTTTTCATGGCTTTCAACAGACATTGCAACTTTTGCCATTGAATACCACCAAGATTCACAGAAAGTGCAAATACCATGAGCAATACCCTCTTTCTTTTGCCAGTTTGATAACTTATGATTCCAAAAGCTTGAGGATGTGAAAAAGTTGAATAATGCTCAATTGATTTCAACCGTTACTTTCATATCCACATGACTGATGATCTTCTTTGCAATCAGGTTAAAAACATGCAAGCAACATGCCAATGGAATGACATGGTTGAACTCGGTGTTGACCATTTTCTATCAAAATTGTGATAGTTTGAAAGGTGAATATTGTGTAAGTTTAATTGAAATATGTGAGATGTGATAGACAAAGATTATCAACTCCAACTTACCCGCAACTTGATCTTTGAGCTAGGAGAATCAGTGACAATTGCCCCAATTTGTTCCCATGTTACAGATTGTCCACAGAGAGAATCCTTCAAGGCCGCTAACGTGTTTTCAGATGTGTGTTGAACATCATCAAGATCCAACACATCGATCAATTTTTCGAAATTGGTGCCACACAGAAGGAGAACAGCATAGACACTGTTTTGTGAGCAGTTGGACCATCCATCAAGGGAGATGTTGAGATTGGTTTGTTCCTTAAGTTTGGCCTTGGTTTTCACTGAATATGAAGCATGGAGTTGAGGAAGAACTGTGTCCATCATAATGAAACGGGAGGCAGGATTGTATGGTGTGACAGAGATGCTTTTTCGAAAGGCTTGAAAGGACGGGTTTTAAAGAAATCTGAAGGGTACATGGCCTGTAATCAGAGCTTTGAGCAGATGTTTGTAAGTTTCTGTGACTTTCTCTGGTGGACAATGCTTGAAGAAACCACTGAAGTCATGGACAATCTTTGGCCGCTTGATCATCGGGTTCTCTTGATTATCAGACATGTTCTGGCTTTCATTTGGGGTATTTACTGTTGAGGCTGTTGGTGTGGCTTTGCCAACTCTGATGAGTTCCAGTTCCTTGTATGCTGATTTATCAGATCTAGAAACAGACTTGCAGTCATTGATTATGTGATTATAAAGTCTAGCCGGTTTTCCGTCAAGCACCAACTTGCAGCTTTTGCATTTGGCGTGGGGTCGGCTGTTATTACGTTCAGTTGAGGCTTGGAATCCAGTCCATCTGGTGCAGCTGTTCTGCATTGGTTCAATCCATTTCATTCCTTTGGTTGTCATTTTGTGGTGTATGGTTGTTTTATATTAAAGAAGAAATTGATAGATTTTTTTGTTGGATTGTGGATGATGGAGGGTTTGTTTTCACGTAAAAACCTCATCCCTCATGTACTTAGGTTATTGGGCGCACCCACCCCCAAAATGATCCTTCTGGGCGCTCCCACCCGGGGCGCTACCTGGGGCGCGGAGAACGCGCTGGGCCCACCGCATGACCCTCATCAGGTTGTTGGTGCGGCGCATTGAAATGTGCCTTTGGTGCGCCAATTGGCAACAGAAAAATTGACAAAATGATGGTTGGCACGCCTTTTCAAGAATTGCACCAAATTGTAGGAGTTCCATGTCCTGTCACCAATATTAGAGACTTGAATACTTGCTGTGAGCTTTGATGACAGCTTTTCTTAGCTTTTCCCACCTTAAAAAGGCAATGCTGCATTAGTAGACAGCTCTAGCAATACAAACACCAAATAAATAACAATACAAAAACAACATTTTGGCTTTCAGCAGGGTTTTTGTAAGAAAACACAAAAATATGAGCGCACCCACAAATTGAATGCCACAGCAAGTGACGGAACCACATTCTGGGACTGACACCGTGGTAACCCATAGGTTCAGAACCAGATTGAAGAAAGATTTTTTTTTCATTGTTTTGAGTGCCTCCTGAGCCGTACACTTTCATGTACTATTAACTACTTGTGCACCGCTCCATTAAAACCCCAGTGGGGAAAAGGAAACATGCTGGCTTTTTGAATAATTACAAGTGTTATTTGGGTACATGTGGTCAAGTCTGGCTCACAGAGTTGAGGAAAGCGGGCAGCATGCCGAAGCGCAGTGCCGGGTGCAGGCGCTCTGCTGGCTGGGGATCCCGGACCACGGGTGTTGCGCTTTCCATTGTCAATTGGGGCCAAAGTTTAGGAATGTTGTGCTTTCCGCTGACAAACCCTTGAACCACGCTGACCTTCCAGTTTCCAGCCTGCACTTAGGCTTCACCACACTACCCAAAGCCACCCATCTCAGTATCCCATTCTCCAGAAATCTGGAGGACTGGCAGATATTGGATATTGTGGATACAAACCAAGGTGGATATCAATACAGACCTGTACAATTCTGAGAAGGTTGGCTGCTTTGGGCGGAAGGGCAAACTGTACCCTACTAGTGTGAAACACAAAAGATGACCTCCTCCTCCAACAATCAATGATATCAAAATTGAATGGGATGTTGAAAGAATGTCCTCTTCACAATTGATATAAGGATCAAGATTGATAAAGATTGCTATCAAGATGAATTGAGCAAACCTCTCAATGTTTAGATACAACAAGTGCAAACACACCTTTCACTTTACCAATATGTTATCATTGATGATGAATGACCATTGTGAATGCCCCAAACATAGAAGTCAGATAGGTATTTATAAAATGCATAGTGGTCTTTTACCTTACACAATAGACAGTCCTTTTTTAAGAATGACTCATGTCTAATCTTGCCTCCAACAATCTGATTGATTGTGATGAGATGAATGTCTCTGTGGACTTTGTGACCTGCTCCCTGTAGGACCAGGCTTGTCTCGATCTCAAATGTGATGAACATTGTTTCTCAGTCTCAACATTCAGTGCCTTCAATGTTTGAAACCGTGGACCAATCACCTGCTTTCTCATATAAAGGTTTGTACCCTTCTTACCATTTTTCAATCTCATCGACTCCCGTCATTATAGTTGTTGATTGGAAAATTGTCTTCATATTTCCAAATTTTTATTTACTCGATTGAATTCATTAACCCACATCAACCCACACTGTATCCAATCATTGTATTCTTTTACTTGTTTTTTTATTTCATTTAACTTGGTTTTTGCTCATTTTCTTTACACTCTTTTAAGAAAATTTACTACTATTTGTTTTAATCTTTCTTGACGCTCATTTATGTTTCTTTAACAATAAAACTTCATTTTCATTTTCACAAAAAAATCACTTCCTTTTCGCCTGCAGCGCTCCGAAGCGCTGCTGGGCCTAAGTTTAGCTTTCAGTTGAGCATTTTCCATGAGTTTTTCCTTCAGCTTTGCTGAAAGCTGCCAATATTCAGAGGGTCCAAATCACACTGTGCTTCCCAGAATACGGTTGGCAGCGCTGCGAGCCAGGCTTGATGTGGTGTAGGGCTATGACCCGGCCCCAGGGCACCACCCGGCCTTGGGAACAACTGGTTGCATCTTCACGCAGACCAAGGCCTGTTGTGGGCCTGTATTCAAGGGTTAGGAGCAAAAAAGTCAGGGCCGGCACCCTGAGTGACTGGGCCCGTGGTGGGGATCTGGGGACTCCATAGGCCAAGCCCAGCTGACCCAGGGCGTGTACCGCTTGCCTCCAAGAATTCATTGGGCAGGCTCAGGCACTCGTGGCCAGGGCTGGGTCATAGCCCTAATGTTGTGGTGCTAAAGGATGGGTTGATAATATTATTTTAGATAGAAGGATGAGGAATGTGCTGAGGAGCAATGCCTGAAGCGTCCCGCCGCAAAAAGCGGGAAGGGAGCGCAAGGGGAGCGGGTTGCCCCGCCCGCGCTTTCAGAAAACAGGTGTAGCGGGTATATCCGCCCCGCCCGCGCTCCTGTCGAAATGTTTTTCATGTAGGGGAGCGCGGAAGTAGTGGGGCGGTCGGAAATAGCACGCTGCAAGGTTTCAGATCCTGCACGTAGAGGGTTAGTACCCATTGTGTCAAAGGAACCAATACATCACTAGAGAATCGATATCATCACGGACATCACCACCGTGGATATCACCCAATTCCTTTCAGAAATTGTCAGATATCTGATATCTGATGACTGAAAGGAAGGCCTTTCCTCGACTCACGCCAACGATCTTGGCGCCACCTCAAATACCGTAAGTCCCATCTCTTCATTTTCCGTCAAAATCTTCTTTCCTGCCTCTTTCTGGCCTCAGCTGACCCAGAAATTCTCTCACCCGATTCTCATATCATTTTCATAATAGATCGATCATGGATTTCACTGTCATAACTCGTCATAACGTTTGCTGGAAGCACCGCTGGAAATGTCAGAATTTTTTATATTTCTTTTTTGGGGTCATGCCCTATGTCAAGATCTTGGTAGGATTTTTTGTTCTGGATCCTATTTATATCGTAAGTCTTCACCGTTCCCAGTTTTTCCTCCACGCCAATTTTCATCCATTCAAAAATTCTGCTCAAGTAGTTATTGATAAATTCCCCCAATTTTTCACATTATTTACTATTTACCATCTCTGTTATAAAATTTTTGATCATTCCGTTTGATTATAGTACAAGACCAAGATGTTACCACCCAGCTCCTCTCTTGTTCCTTCTAGCAACGGTCCAACCCTTCGTCCTAGGACTCCTACTCAGCCCAGACCCGATTTCATCATTCAATCTCCCGATCTATGTGTAGCTTCTATTTGTCCATCCCCTATTCGCGAAACTGTTGACTCTGACAACGAAGCTAGTGTGTGGGAGGTTACCAGCGGTGAATCCAATACCACCGATGGCATCGGTGGTGACAAAGTTGAGGTTGTTGAAGAATCGGACAACAATAACTTAACCGTTCCTACCACGAACAAGAAGAAGGGTCGTAAGTGCAAAGGCAAGGCTCCTGTTGCCAAAACCCAAGGTCGTCCGCGTGGATCTGGTGCTTCAGGAGGCTTAACCCGACGTCCACCCAAGAAATCGAGGAAAGGACGTGTTGAGGTAAGTTCAATAGTCCTTTGTTCATATTTCAAAAACTCGCACTAACTTGTATTCAATGATTATGTAGGCAACCGTTCCTGTTGTTATCGATGTTGACCAGGAATCTGAAATTGAGGTCGTTCAGACTCCGGGTGCGCGATGTGCGCAACTCGAGCGTGTCCGCAAGTTATTGAAGTTTTGCAACACCCCAACTCATGTCAAAGGCGAGGTAAGCCTTCCATTATTTCTCTTGTTCTTGTTCTTTTATATATCTTTTTTTCGATTTCTTTCCTTTATCTTATTCTAATCTTCCTCATTTGAATTTGTAGTCAGGAGACGACCCCCGGCAATTCCAATGTCGCTGGTGTTTTGGGCGCTTCATCCGTGGTGCTCGTAGTCACTACAACTTGTAAGCTCATCGGGATGGAGCAAAAGGTCGAGCTGCGTGTCCCCGACGAGCTCGAGCGATTCAAGCTGGTTTTGACTTGCCCAACACTTGGGCTCAAGATCAAGCTGAAAGCACTCAAGCCTCGAACGAAGCCAATGGTCAACCAACTCTCGATGCTTTTCTCTCACAAGCCACCTTCAGTGTTGACCTCTGCAACACTGTCCTTGTCATATGGATATTATGCCATGCTCTTCCATTTAATCGATTCTATGATGGGCCTTTAAGAGCCGCATTCAAGCTGGCTAATCGTCGAGCTGACCTGAGGACCCCAACTTGGGCCGCTGGAATTGCCAAAGAGCTCTATTTCAACTTGAGTTCATCCGTGATCAATTTGGTCTCTGTAAGTTTTTATGTATTTCCCTCAACTCAGCATTCATATTCATCTTTATTTTTATCTGACATCTTTATATTTATCTGAATCATGTAGAATAATCCTGGAAAATTCTCCCTTGTCCACGACGTTTGGACTACCAAGGGTAATAGATATGCTTTCATCGGAGTTTCAGCCAATTTCATCGATGAAGACTGGAATTATCGATCGGTTCACCTCACTCTCAAGCTAGTAGCCTGGAACAAGATGGGCTTTTTACTAGCTCGCCCAGTCGCCCAATTCTTGATAGTGAACAAGCTTCACACTAAGATGAGTACAGTTTCTTTTTATAACATACATTATCAAACAAAACTAATTTATAATGTGACCCAATACATGCTAGCTCAAACCACAGATTTGGGTTCTAACAATAACACAATGGCTCTTGAAATGGAAGAAATGTTCTCGGAGTCCAATGAAAACGTTCAATGGGATTCATCTAAAAATCATGTCCCATGCTTCGCTCATAAGCTCGGTCTTGTGGTCAAGCATGGCTTGAACTCGATTGGTTTAGCTGCAGGACACATCAAACCAACCACACCGGCTAACACTTCCATTCCAATTCCCACCGTCATTCTCAACGACGACATGACCGAGGTTGTATGCGAGTCTGATGAATCAGATGACGAGATCTTTGCTCCACCTTCATCACGCCCTTCTCAAGACTCCACCTCCGATGTAGAAGATGAATCAAGTTATGATTATGTTCCATCTAGCACATGTGTTGTGGTTCAAGGAGCTATCAAGGTATGTAATTGGTCTCTTTTTTTCATTCACTTCTGTTAAGTTCTCTACTGACTAATTCTGCAACATGACCACCAGCTCAAGGATATCAATGCCCTATTGACTCGAAGTAATGCTCGCCGTGGTGAGTTCGCCGCTCGAGCAGCTCAGATGGGCTATGATGGACCAGCCCCTATTTCTGGATGGGGTGTGCGCTGGAACATCGACTTAGCAATGTTTTTGAATTTAGTTGCTGGTCGCGATGTGAGTACTTTCATTACCTCATTTTCATATTTATCATCAGCTTTTCATTGACCGTTTGAATATGTAGGTTATTGATTCAATCCTCATCGCCGATCAAAAGACGAGGTATTATCAAGGTGCGATGATGTCCATGGAGGAGTGGGATGCTGTAGAAGAATTGTGCAAAGTGTTGAAAGTAAGTGTTATGTCTTTAATCATCTCATGTCCAGACTTTATCACTAACATATGTTATTCATGTACATGATCAGGTATTTCACTTCTCCACCAAACGAATGGAAGGAGATTTTGCATCGGGTTCAGTCGTCCTGGCTGAGTACCTGCGAGTGAACAAAGTCCTTCAGCAGTTGCGCAACGCTTCTGTTTTCCCAAGCATAATGACAATGATCGATACCATGTTGGTGAAACTCTTGGTATACCAAGATGAAGCAGCCTCTTCAGACGTGATCATACTGGCTACAGCTATGAACCCAAAGTATCAACTTCGATTCTTTGACCTCCACTATCCCGAATATGCCGAGACAGCAAGAGAACTCATCGAGAGTGTCTTTCAAGCCAAGCTCAATGACTGGCCCGTCACTCCTCCTTCAACCCCTCCACCCGGTCCAACTTCCAGCTCAAGTACTTCATTCGATCAATTTGATGTCTTCACCTCTGCAGCCACCTTTCAATCATCTGATTCAATCAGATCTTCCGAGCTAGAGATATATCTACAAGGCACTGTTCCAATCACTCCTGGGCAATCGGAACTAACTTGGTGGCAGGTAAGTTTCCATCGTTATTCACCTCTGACCATTTGCATTCATTAACTCTTTCTTTGTTCCTTCAGGCAAATGCCGAGTGATTCCCAGTTCTTGCAACCGTTGCTCGGGATTATCTATCGATTTCAGCTACCTCCTGTTGTGTTGAGCGTACTTTTTCTTCTGCAGCCGACATCGCTGTACCTGCGCGTGGAGGTTTGAAAGCCAAGACAATCTCACGAGCTGTAGGATGCAGACAATGGCTGCAATCCTACATTCCCGTGGTTGGCAAATTTGCCAATGCGATTGCTTATGTCACCTCTTTTGCAGCAAACATGATGAAGAAGAAAAAAGACTAGTTTTACTCTCAAGTACTTACGCTTTGTGTTGTTTCTTCTTGATTATTTTTTTCCTTCTTTACCATTTCTATGGCTATTTCCTGCCCGCAAAGCTGTTGCTTTTCCTTGAGTGTCAAGTTTGGTTATACTTCGCTGGTATTCCTTATTGTTTCTTTGGTTATATGTCTTTATCGTCACTATCGTCACTTGTTTAACAAATTTCCCGCTGTTTTTTCTTGTTCTGGCAAAATACAAGTTTGTCCTTGTTTTTTTTGGTCTCTTATATTGCTCTTCGTGTGTTTATTGTTTCAATGTGAATATTAATAAAAAAAATAAAAAATTGTGAATAGTACACTCTGCCCGCTCCCCAGATCCTGAAAACCGTGCAGCGGGGCGCAAGCGGGTCCCAAACCCGCCGCGCTCCTTTGGCCATGTAGCGAGCCAAAATTTTAAGCGGTGCGAGAGCGTGTGGTACATGTAGTGGGTATGTATACCGTTACAAAAAAAATTGGCTTTAGCGGATCACAGCGGTGTGGTTCAAGTATTGTGAGGAGGGGGCTTGTTGGTTATTTTGGCCCATACCCAGCGGTTCTTGAGCCTCCAGGTTGAGCTGCAGAATTTGGCAACTTGATCAAGACATAACCCCATTTCCATCACGCCATCATCCATCACGCCTCTAATTCCCAGCAAGTATTGTTTTCAGGCATTCGGAACTGGTGCCGGATCTAAATCTTCAATATGTGGACATGTACTGATCATCGATTGGACAGGATGATTGATCGAGTTTGGACTCAACTCAATCATCGAATTCAAGCCTCACATCTACCATTCTTTCCTGGTGTTTCGAAGTGGAGGATCTGGATCTCAATTCTCAACCCATGGACTGAACATCTTTCAAATGTGTGGACTTATCGAGGTACAAAGGTCAGTCTCTCTTCCTTTTTACATCTCCATCAAGTGAGGATACTATCGTTGTTGACTGACCTTTGTCTTTACATTAATTTACCTTCCAACCATTAATTATCAACACGTTGTCATTACAACTCTTATAATTGTTTATCTACAACTTTTTATAATTGTTAATCATGTCTAACTTTACCAAGCAACCAACAATCACATCATTCATCTCTTCTGGATACGAGACTGATAATGGCAATACTCGACCTACAGCACCTCGACGCTCTTCTTGGCAAGTTACACCAGCCAGACGTGCACCTGGGATGATCACCCCATCTTCCGACTCTTGCCTTGGTCTCTTTGATGGGGTTAGAGATGTTAGGGATGTGCACGTTCATCAGCAACATGAGCGATCTGCCTCCCAGCCACAAGGCAATGAACCGCCGTGTGAACCCGCTCAAGCAAGATCAATTATGGTTTCATGTCCTTCAAGTTCTACTCCAGTAAGTCAATCTTACTCCTCTCATCTTTCAAATCAAATGATTACCAATTTTCCTTTAATTCTTTTGATGTATTTCAGGCTACTGGTACCCATCAAGCTTGCTCAACTCAAGCTCGCTCAACTCATGAACCTGCTTGACAAAGAGCAATCACCGTTTCATGTGCTTCAAGCTCAGCCTCTACTGCAGTATGTCGGTTTTAATCTTACTTTAGTCCAAAAAGTATGGTATTTATGTTATGATATTTACGTTCACTTTGATTCTTATGTATCTCAGGCTACAGGTACCCACCGTGCTCAAACCCTTTCTGTATCAGATGCGGATATCAACAACCGCAGCGAAGTAAGTTTGTCTTTTTTATTATGTATTAGTTTGTTTTGTTTTTGATCTGACTAATTAATTAACTTTGTCTACAGATACATTTGGGTCCACCTGTGGTGGATTTGGCTCAAGACTCTGATGATGATAACTCACGGCTCAGAAAACGCAAAAGAAACCAGCCGGCAATCGAGCACAATGATCCATTCAATTACTTTGAGCCACCAACACACAAGTACAATGTATGTCTTTAATCTCTCTATTTAATCATTTATCTTTATTGAACCTAATGACTGATATAGATTGAACCAATCGTTTTTGTAGCCGCTCGACCAACCTGGACTATCTTACACATGCAGGATGTGCTTAAAGGTGGTTCGGGTCAGTGGAAGCTCTTGTCGTTCTAACCTCAAAGCTCATCGCGATGGATCAAAACAGGCTGGGAAGTCTGGCGCTGGATGTAGTCGTCGA